CTTGGCCCTGGGCGCCCACGGCTACCTGCGTCAGCACGGCGCCCTGCCTGCCCCCGCCGGGGACTGCCACAGCCACCTCGGGCCCATCGGTCCTGCCCGGAAGGCCTTCTACAGGTGGGCACCGGCACTAGCTGTGTGCCTGGGGTCATGGCATCTCTGCTGGGGATGTAGCTCACTACACAGGTTCTGGGTTCCATTGCTATGGCCCTGGGCGCCCACGGCTACCTGCGTCAGCACGGCGCCCTGCCTGCCCCCGCCGGGGACTGCCACAGCCACCTCGGGCCCATCGGTCCTGCCCGGAAGGCCTTCTACAGGTGGGCACCGGCACTAGCTGTGTGCCTGGGGTCATGGCATCTCTGCTGGGGATGTAGCTCACTACACAGGTTCTGGGTTCCATTGCTAGTATGGCAAGAAAAAAAAAACACAACAAATGTGTCTTGTTTTGGGTGGTGGTGGGCTTCCGGGTGCAGCCACAGGCTGGGATGTGAAGACATCCTGGCATCTCTTTCCCCTCATAGGCACCTCCTGAACGTCACCTGGGAGGGCCGAGACTTCTCCTTCAGCCCCGGTGGGTACCTGGTCCAGCCCACCATGGTTGTGATTGCCCTCAACCGGCACCGCCTTTGGGAGATGGTGAGAAGGGGGTGAGCCCGAGGGTCCTTGGCTCCTCTCGTTGGTCCCCAGTCCCACTTGAGCCCACAGCTGAGCAACCCCTGAACCTCCCCCACCGGGAAGCCTCCTGGGGCCCAGGGTGGGTGAGGCCCCAGCTCCCCTCCTCTGCAGAGCTCACCGAGCACAGGCCTGGCCCTGGAGGAGTAGCCTGCTCCGTGTGGACCAGACAGACACGCAGACAAGTAGGGCATGGGGAGATCAGTGCTAGAGTGGAGATGTGCACGAGATTCTTTGGGGGTGGACAGCGGGAGCAGGAATTAGTTCCGCCTTCAAAGGAGGGAACTCGGGGACGCTTCACAGAAGATGGGACATTCGAAGTAGGCCATGGAGGGTGAGTAGGAGCCCATCGGGAAAGGAAGCCAGCCTGCTATGGAGAGGGAGCATTTTAAAGTGTGTGGCAGGTGTATGAGAGGGTGCAGGTTAAGGAACTAGGCTGGGCTGAGCATGAAGGGCCCTGAGGCCACAGTACCTTTCTGGCCCATGCTTAGCACTTGCCCTGTTCTCCAAATGCCCCTGCCCCCGGCCCTCCTCTGCCCCAGCTGTTCCTAGGTGACAGGGAGGATTCCTGGCCATGGCAGACTGCACCTAGAGGCTGGGGGCAGCAGGGCTACAGGTCCCAGGCTGAGGCTTTGTGTCCTCTGCAGGTGGGGCGCTGGGATCACGGTGTCCTCTATATGAAGTACCCGGTGTGGCCTCGATACAGTGTCTCTCTGCAGCCTGTAGTGGATAGCCGGCACCTGACAGTGGCCACACTGGAAGAGCGGCCCTTTGTCATTGTGGAGAGCCCTGACCCTGGCACAGGTGGCTGTGTACCCAACACTGTGCCCTGCCGCAGGCAGAGCAACCACACCTTCAGGTCTGGTGTGATCTGGGTGCTGCTATGTGAGGGTCGGCTGTTGTGTGTCTATACCCTGTGCATGGGCTCCGGGGCAGGGTCTGCATGTCAGGTTGGGAGGAGCTGCCGGGGTTGCCAGTGACAGTGGACTCTGACTCCTGTGGTCTCTTGGGGTGGGGGCTCAGCAGTGGCGAAACAGCCCCCTACACCAAGCTCTGCTGTAAGGGCTTCTGCATTGACATCCTCAAGAAGCTGGCCAAGGTGGTCAAGTTCTCCTATGACCTGTACCTGGTGACCAATGGCAAGCACGGCAAGCGAGTGCACGGCGTGTGGAATGGCATGATCGGGGAGGTAGGCCTTCCCCGGGCTGGCCCCAGGCCCCTCTCAGGCAGGCCTGAGGGTGGGAAGAACTGGGCTCACCTGGGCTGCCAGTCCGGAAGGTGAGCTCTGAGGACCCCGGCAGGAATGACGGACTGCTGGTGGGTGCTGGCAGGGAGGGTGCTGGGAAGGACAGGAGAGAAGCCCCTTCTCTGACCCCCACCGGGCCCCCAGGTGTACTATAAGCGGGCAGACATGGCCATTGGCTCCCTCACCATCAACGAGGAGCGCTCTGAAATCGTGGACTTCTCTGTGCCCTTTGTGGAAACGGGCATCAGTGTGATGGTGGCCCGCAGCAACGGCACTGTCTCGCCTTCGGCCTTCCTGGGTGAGGCTGGGGGGCAGGATGGCTCCCGAGAGAGTTTGGGGTGGCCCTGGGGCTTGAGCAAGCAGCCTTGGAGACTGTGGGGCAGCCAGGGGAGGGTGGCTTGGAGAAGGAAGATGGGAAATTGGCCCTGGGTTCTGAGTCTGGATGGCGTGGGGAGAGTAGGCAGATCGTGGAACCCTTGTAAGGAACCAGGAACCTGGGCAGTGGGCTGGCTTCTGTGGCATGGGCGGGAGCATGGACGGGGAGAAGCTCCGAGGGAGGCGTGGAAGAGACGCCGGTGTCTCACTCGCTTTGGAGCTCAGTGGCGTTGTGCAGTCGGCCTGCTGTGCTAGGCGCCCCCTAGTTGCGGGAGATCCAGCCATGGTCCTTGCCTAAGTAGGGTGCCCAGGTGGGACATGCAGAGGGAGGTGGCGCAGAGAGCTGTGAGGACCGGGGTGGTGGTGGTGGTGCTAAGAACGGGTGAGAGCCCCCTGCTTGCTGGGTGGCCTTAGGCAAGTCACTGAGCCTCTCGGAGTGAGTTCCTCCTCGGCCACAGGGAGAAGAGCAAGTCCCACTTTCTAGAGTGATCTTCACAGTGTGGGAGCAAGTGCTCATGGCAGTAATGATTTCTTCCTCCAGGAGACTGAGACCTGGGGCCTCAGTTTCCACGCCAGCAGGATGAGTAGGACCTGACCTCAGAAGCTCTGACCCCAGGCAGAGGGACCCAGGATGAGGCAGCCGAGGGTGTGAAGAGGGAGGAAGTCTTCTTAGGGTGGGGGAGTGTGCCCGACTCAGGGCACAGGGAAGGCAGGAGACCTCCTTGGGCTCTCTGCTGCTCTGCTGCCTGAGGCCTCTTTGTCTCTATCCACAGGGCTGGCAGCCCCTCGTTTGACCTAGTGTCACCAGTCTCCACTGCGTGATGCCAGGCTGGTGGGCATCAAGGTCTCCGAGCTGCCTCCCTCTGTCCCCAGAGCCCTACAGCCCAGCAGTGTGGGTGATGATGTTTGTCATGTGCCTCACCGTGGTGGCGATCACTGTCTTCATGTTCGAGTACTTCAGCCCCGTCAGCTACAACCAGACCCTCACCAAGGGCAAGAGTAAGCTGTCCCCTGGGCCACAGGGCGGGGCAGGATGGAGATGGTCACTGATGGGGTCCCTGCCTAGGCTAGGGCTGGGACAGGAGTCCTCGGGTGGGCAAGAAGAGCCCAAGCAGTCGGGTGTGGTGGTGCACACCTATAATCCCAGCCCTCTGGGAGGCTGAGGCAGGAGGATCACAGGTTCTAGTTTAGCCAGGGCAACTTAGTGACTGAGTGAAAACCTATCTCAAATAAAGAAGGGCCAGGGATGTAGCTCAGTGTGAAGGCCCTGGATTCAATCCCCAGCATTGAAAAAAAAAAATTAGAGCTTGAGCATCACACCCTTTCACATCCCAGAGCCTGGGGGTCCATCCTTCACCATTGGCAAGTCCGTGTGGCTGCTCTGGGCCCTGGTCTTCAACAACTCGGTGCCCATCGAGAACCCCCGGGGTACCACCAGCAAGATCATGGTCCTGGTCTGGGCTTTCTTTGCCGTTATCTTCCTTGCCAGCTACACTGCCAACCTGGCCGCCTTCATGATCCAGGAGCAGTACATCGACACGGTGTCGGGCCTCAGTGACAAAAAGGTGCCAGGGCCATGGCTGGTGGAGGGCGGGAGGGACCCTGAGAGTGTGGACAGGCCTTGGGTGGGCAGACATGGGGCAGCTGGAATCTGGGGAATTTGAGTTGGAGGCTGGAGCAGGAAGAAGCTGTGGGGCCTGGCAAGGAAGGGACTGGAGGCAGCAGGTTGCTCAGTTCTGCCGACTGAGTGGCCTTGGGTAGGCGTCCTCCTGTCTTGGGCCTCAACATCCCCATTTGCAAAACAAAAGGGCAGCCAGGGCACTCTGACAATGCAAGTCCAGGGCCTGGGCCTTGGGGCTCAGGTGCTCAGAAGGTTGCGTGAAGGTGACAAATGGCTGCTACTCTCACCTGCAGTTTCAGCGGCCTCAAGATCAGTACCCGCCCTTCCGCTTTGGCACGGTGCCCAACGGCAGCACGGAGCGGAACATCCGCAGCAACTACCGCGACATGCACACCCACATGGTCAAGTTCAACCAGCGCTCGGTGGAGGATGCGCTCAGCAGCCTCAAGATGGGGTGCGTCCTCTGCCTCTGGCCATGTGTCTTCCTGCTGTGCAGCCTTAGTTTTGTCCCTTCTGGAGACACCCAAGGTGGGGACAGTGGGGCTGGGCTGCCTTGCAGGACTCCCAGAGAGGGTGTGACAGTCTTGGGGCAGAGTGGAGCTTGAAGGGCAGACAGATGCCCACCATGCATTCCAGAAACTCAGCTGTGGTGTTGGTCAGAGGGAGCCTTGGCCCGAGGTGGTGGTTGTGACCTTCTCTTGGCTTCAGGGACCTGAAGAGGCTGGGCAACGGGGACATTTGTCCTCTGGGGCAGAGTCCCTGGCCTCTCTGAGGAGAAGGGTGGGAGGGTCCTGGCTACAGTAGGACCCAAGGGCCCCAGAGAAGGCTCTGCCCACTTGTCCCTCTGCAGCAGTGCCCAGTAGGCTCGCTTGGTTTCCCCCTCACTTCCTCCTGGTCCCTGGCCCTGAGGACTGCATGTCCCCAGGAAGCTGGACGCCTTCATCTATGATGCTGCTGTCCTTAACTACATGGCGGGCAAGGACGAGGGCTGCAAGCTGGTCACCATTGGGTCTGGCAAGGTCTTCGCCACCACTGGCTATGGCATCGCCATGCAGAAGGACTCCCACTGGAAGCGGGCCATAGACCTGGCGCTCCTGCAGTTCCTGGGTGACGGTGGGTGCTGCTTCTGCTGGGGACCATGGGTTGTCTATGGTGGGCCCCAGAATCCAACATTAACAAGATCTCCCCTTCTCTGTGCCCAGGGCACTTGGGTAGGGAGAGGTTCCTGGGAGTAAGGCTGGGCAGCTGGGGTGGGCAGGTAGTAGGAGCAACTGGAAGGAGACCTGGAGGAGGGATTGGCTTGTTGAGGGGAGCAAGAGCAGGAGCCAGGGGAAGACAGGAAGGAGGCCAGGCCACGCAGTGGCTAAACACCTTTGCCCAGTACGGTCCCCCCATTTCAGTCTTGAGATTAGCTGGTGTAGTGCCAAGGACCTGGGTAGTCCAGATCGGAGGGTCAGGCTTGCCTTGGCAGCACGAGTGGTCCGGCCCAGCCTGCTCCTAAACTTGATTGTAGAGGGGCTCCACCCTGATTAGGTAAAACCTGTCTGAATTCCCAATGCCACATAACAAGGAGAGCAGACAATGTGGGTGCTGTGATCTCTGTGGCCCAGCTCCAGACGTGGCAGGTAGATGGTCAGTAAGTGAATGAATAAATGAATGGATGCTGAAATGTACCCAATCATCAGGCCTTTACTGGGCACACAGGTGCACTTCGCTGCGGGTAGCAGGTAGAGGGCCCAGAGGCTGCCACACCCCACCCTGTCCCACCCCCATCCTCCTCTCTGCTTTTCTTTCTCCTCCTCCTTCCTGTTCTTCCTCCTCCTTCTCCACCCCTTCCTTTTTGGAAGTATGGGGGAGGACAAGGGCCTTTGAACTGGGCAACATCCCCAACTCCTTTTTAAATTTTTAAAAATTTAAGACAGGGTATCACTAAGTTGCTAATTGGGCTTCCATTTGCAGTCCTCCTGCCTCAGCCTCCTAGAGTGCCAGGATTCCAGGTGTGCATGGCCACACCTGTCCTCCTTTCTTCCTGCTTGCTGTCTACCCCTTTCCATCCTGGCTCTACTGGGCTCCATCCCTGGGTGGTCTCACTTGAGAAACAAGGGCGTGGTAGGCTGGTCCCACATCCATCCTCCACCCAGGCTTGTGGGCATCGTTATGGGGTCTCCTGAGTGGCTGTGTCCCCCTGCCCCAGGAGAGACACAGAAACTGGAGACAGTGTGGCTCTCCGGGATCTGCCAGAATGAGAAGAACGAGGTGATGAGCAGCAAGCTGGACATCGACAACATGGCTGGGGTCTTCTACATGCTGCTGGTGGCCATGGGGCTGGCCCTGCTGGTATTCGCCTGGGAGCATCTGGTCTACTGGAAGTTGCGCCACTCGGTTCCCAGCACGTCCCAGCTCGACTTTCTGCTGGCTTTCAGCAGGGTGGGTGTCCTGACTGAGGTCCTGAGAGGTGGCATGAGGAGGCTGTGATTAGGACTGCGTCAGCCTGCAGAGGCTCAGATACCCACTTCACCTGCAAAGCAGACCGGTGCCTGGCACCTAGGACCTCACCAGTAGTTGCTTCTAGGACTTAGAAGGCTGAGGCTTGGGACGGGCGGGCTGCTCACGGCCGGCCCGTCTTCCCCTCATTAACCAGGGTATCTACAGCTGCTTCGGCGGGGTGCAGAACCTCGCCAGCCCCGCCCGGCAGCCCAGCCCGGACCTCACTGCCGGCTCGG